CATCTCCCAAAATCCTCAAAGCTCTGAAACAAAAAAGGTTGCAAATTCCTCCAAAAATGCCGGGGAATTTAGAACCATTAGATCTCGGAATCCAAATACCGTACCATTTCAGATGTCCAATCTCACTCGAACTAATGTCCGATCCAGTAACAATCTCCACCGGTCAAACTTACGACAGAACCAGCATCGAGTCATGGATCGCCATGGGAAACATAACTTGTCCGGTCACAAGACTAACTCTTTCCGACTTCACTCTCATCCCTAACCACACTCTTCGCCGTCTAATCCAAGAATGGTGCGTCGCCAATCGCTCTAATGGCGTCGAACGGATTCCAACACCTAAACAACCGGCAGATCCGATCTCGGTTCGGTCTCTTCTAAGTCAAGCCTCCGCAATCTCCGGTAATCACGTCTCTATTCGCTCACGCGCCGCCGCGATTCGTCGTTTGAGAGGTTTAGCTAGAGATAGCGAGAAAAATCGCGTTTTGATCGCCGCCCATAACGCTAGAGAGATTTTGATAAGGATTTTATTCTCCGACGTCGACGCCGGAAAAGAATCATCGTCACCGTCGCTGTCGTCGGAATTAGTATCGGAGTCGCTTGCTCTGTTGGTTTTATTTCACATGACGGAAACAGAGTGTGAGTCTATAGCTTCGGATCCGGTTCGGGTCCGGTTTATGATCCGGTTATTGTTCGATTCGGTTATCGAAAACCGGGTTAACTCCGCCGCGTTGATAGAGATGGTTTTGACCGGAGTTAAATCTCCGGATCTGAAATTGATGATCTCAGGATCCGATTCGGTATTCGAAGGGGTTCTTGATCTTCTCAAGAACCCGATTTCGTCGTCGAGACGAGCTTTAAAAATCGGTATAAAATCGGTTTTCGCGCTCTGTTTAGTGAAACAGAGTCGGCATCTAGCGGTTTCAGCCGGAGCTCCGGCGGTTTTGATGGACCGTTTAGCGGCGGATTTTGATAGGTGTGATACAGAGAGAGGTTTAGCTACGGTGGAGTTACTTTGCCGGTTACCGGAAGGTTGTGCGGCGTTCAGTGAACATGCTTTGACGGTGGCGTTTTTGGTGAAAACGATATTGAGAGTGTCGGAGAGAGCGACGGAGTATGCGGCGGGAGCTTTGTTGGCTCTTTGTACGGCGGAGGAAAGGTGTAGAGAGGAGGCGGTGACGGCGGGATTGGTGACGCAGTTGTTGTTGTTAGTGCAGAGTGAGTGTACGGAAAGAGCTAAGAGGAAAGCTCAAATGCTTTTGAAGCTACTTAGAGATTCGTGGCCGGAAAATAATCTTGTTAATTCCGACGAGTTTGGTCGGAGTGAAGTGGGGCCGTTTTGAATTTGTTTTTGTTTATTCGTTGTTAGAAATTTTAGAGTAGTTTTA